AAAAAAAAAAAAAAAAAAACCGACAACAACATTAATGGCCTATCAGAAACGGAAACAAATGCTTTTCCTAATTTCCATGAAGGAAAAAGAAAAATGACAAGGCCACGAAAAGCAATAAGAGGTGGAGCACGACGAGTAGGTGAGGAGAGATGAAGGAGGAGAGATAAGAGGAGGACAAGGAGGAGAGATGGAGGAGGACGAGGAGAAGGTGGGGAGAGGAGGTGGAGGAGGACATCACAAGGAGGAGGAGACACGATTGCAGTTCGAAGTTTCCATGGAAAAAAAATACGAAGTGCCAAGGCCATATTATTAAGGAGGAGATGAGATGGAGGAGAGATGGAGGAGGAAGAGGAGGAGATGGAGGAGAAGAGATGGAGGAGGAAGAGGAGGAGATGGAGGAGGAGGGATGGAGGAGGAGGTGAGGAGGAGGAAGATGATAACATGACAAGAGGGAGGAGATACCATCCAAGTTAAAAGTTTCCATGTGACGAGGCCGTGCCAAGGATGGTGAGAGGTGGAGGGGGAGAGATGGAGGAGGAGGGATGGAGGAGGAAAACGAGGAGAGATGGAGGAGGAAGGAGGAGGAGGACGTAACAAGGAGGAGGAGATACCATCGGAGTTTGATCTTCAAAGTTTCGTTAATGAAGAAAAAAGGAGGAGGACGTAACAAGGAGGGGGAGATACCATTGGAGTTTGATCTTCAAAGTTTCATTAATGAAGAAAAAAGGAGGACGTAACAAGGAGGGGGAGATACCATCGAAGTTCGATCTTCGAAGTTTCAGTAATAAAGAAAAAAACTAAGTGACGTGACAGGGAGGAGATAAGATGGAGAGATGGGGGAGGAGAGATGGAGCAGGAAGTGGAAGAGATTGAGGAGGAAAGATGGAGGAGGAGGTGAGGAGGAGGAGGAGGGAGAGGAGGAGGAGGAAGAAAAAGACAACATGAAAAGGGGGAGGAGATACCATCCAAGTTCGAAGTTTCCATGGAAAAAAAGGTGACAAGGCCGTGACAGTGAGGGTGAGAGGTGCAGGAGGAGAGATGGAGGAGGAAAGATGGACGAGTAGGGATGAAGGATGAGGACGAGGTGAGATGGAGAAGGAGAAGGAGGATGTAACAAGGAGGAGCAGATACTGTTGCAGCTTTAACTTTACATAAAAAGGTGACGAGACCTTTGACGAGGACGAGGGATGGAGGAGGATGACGAGGAGGAGGAGAGGCGAAGGCAGAGGAGGAGAGTTGCAGGAGGAGGCGATTATGATGAGACATGGAGGAGGGGTGACAAGGAGGAGGAGGAGGAGACAGAGGACGGGGAGCAGGTTACGAGGAGTAGAGATGGAGGACGTGGAGACTGGTGGAGAGAGACTGTCACACCTCCCAAGTTTCCACATACAAAAAAAAGGTGACGAGGAGGTGACGAGAAGGAGGACGTGAAAAGGACTGGGGGAGGTGATGAGAAGGAGAGGAGGAAGTGACCAGGAGGGGAAGCAGGTGACGAGGAGGTGCAATGAGGTGACGAGGAGATATGCTCACAGTTTGAAGTTTCCATGAAGAGGAGGACGTGACGGGGAGGAGGACTGGTGGAGGTGAGGAGGAGATATGGAGGAGGCGGCGGAGGCGAATTGCAGGAGGAGACCACAAGGACATACCATCAGAGTTCCAAGTAACCATACACACACAAAAAAAGGATGATCCCATGACGAGGACGAGAAGAGATGGGGGATGAGGAGGGGGAAGATGTCGACGAGGAGGGGGAAGATGTGGACGAGGAGGGGAAGGTGGAGGACGTGAGTTTGAGGGAGAGCAGGAGGGCTGGTGGAGACCCACCTGGCTTGGAGGAGGACGATCGAAGTCGGCACTGGTTGTAGCTCTGAAGCTCGTCGATGGTGGTCGGAGGAGAGGGAGGTTGGCGCTGCTCACAAAGAAGCAAAGGCAACGGAGGACAGCGGTGCTGCTTCCTCGGCCTGAGGACAGGAGGCGGGCCTGCGGCGGGCCTGCGGCGGGCCTGCGACAACAACAAAACCAAAGAAAGAGCCCCTTCCGAAGCCCTTCCCTTTTTTCCCACCTGATTGCACCACAGAAACGAGTTCGAATTCGTTTCTTGCTAATTTCTTTTTTTGGCCGTGAACCAGGGTTGCATACCTGCCAACCATCGACCCCGACTGCCGACCGTTTTGCAGCCGACCGGTAGGGCCGACCGGTCGGCGGTCTGCCGACCAGTCAGAAAACAGCCATCCACTGACTTTTGTTCAAATCTGAGTTGGGGGCTGTACTGCACTTGCTGAGTACAGTGCGAGGATTGAGCCCTCGCAGTGACTTATAGGCCGCGGCACCCGACTGCCCAGGGGGCCCCCAGCATGCCTTGTGCCCTTCCTAAGTGAAGGCGGGCTTGCATTTTGATACAAGGCCCTGTTTTTGTCATTTCTGCACATGGGGGCGCCAGACAGTTGCCACGCGCCAGTTGGTTACGAGGCCCACGCCCAGTGTGAGCACGACATGCTGAGCCTCAGGGCTCACCCAGCTTGCGACGTGGCCTGGGGCTCCACGGCCAATGAGAATTCAGGCAGCGACGTGGCCCAAGAGTCAATGAGAATGCAGTGAGTGACAGCAGCCACGCCACAAAGTTGGGCAGCTTAACTGCTGCGGGCCCAGGCCACTGTCTAAAGGGGTCCGGGCGCAGACACTTTGGCCCAGCGTGAAGCTACTGGGCACACGCCCACCAGGCTCAGGGCAGCCGGAGGCATGGCTCACTTTCAATATAGCAATGTGAGTTCCCAGCCAGAGGAGGGCGGTCGCTCGGCAACCAGAGGGCCCACACTGGCGCAGAGGAGGAAGTTGCAGCTGGGCTGCAGGTGCACAACAGCCATAGCTGGGCTGGCCGCACGCAGGCTAGTGTAGGCGATGGTGGTCTTCGGGTGATGAGGGCACACGCTGTGGGAGAGGAGCGGGTGAGGGGAGAGGAGGAGAGACACGTACCTGGTGTATGCGGCAGTCTGCATTGGCAACATCGTCACATACATCGTTCTTCAGCCGGAAGTGACTCCTGTTGCATGACGTAGTGTAGGGTAGAGTAGGTGCTGAGTAGGATAGGCTGGGTGCCGAGCGCCAATCAAGAAGAGCGACATTGGATACTATGTTGGTGGTGGCGAGGGAGGGCCGACATTGACATTTCAGTTCATTGTATTGCTCTTATTTGGTCTACAGTGTGATATTGCAATTTGGTTTTCTGTCTATCGCTCTCACTCATTTTCCTTGCAACAGCCCAAATCCGCTGAGAAACTTTCGGGGATTGGGAGGGGGATATGGGGGGGGATATGGGG